GTACCATAACATTCATTACACCCCAGAAGACAAAAATTAACACAAGTTGACTTATTCGTGACCAGCAATGATTAAATTGCACGATGACAGTGGCAATGGCAATGTGGCAGTCCCCTAAAGAGAACTCCAGATGTGTGATATTAAAAGCCCAAGTTCACGCAGATATGCGTCTAGTTCCCCATTTAATTCAGTGCTGTCTTTCACTTTTTTTTGTGTAGTCACGCAGCGCTTCGTTGTGGTTAAAAACTGTATTACGTAACTGTTAATCGTCCGCGTTACTTGCGTCATTACAAAATCCAGTTTGTATACAGTTTGCTATGTTTTCCGCCTGCTCCACTCCTGTCAAGTATCCACCATGAACATAACCATTGTACAACTCGTGCGTTGCTTCTCCAGAAAAGAACACCCGCCCGACTGGAGCCTGAAGATTCACATAGTCTTGCCTAGAAATTCCGATGGGTAGGTTTGCCCAGGATCCAAAAAAATACTTGTCGAGTCCCCATCTGGGATAGTAAATGTCTATTGGGTCGGGAATGTTCTTACCGTACATACCCCTTAATACCTCCATAATTTCTTGTTGGGTGTGTTTGGTAGACTGGTAGGCAAGCCTAACAGATTCCTCACCTGTGACAGTTATCAGTAGAATGTTAGTACCTTTAGGTAGCCGAGAATCAGCTTCCAAATTCTGCATCATGGTGTAGTATCCTCGTCTGCGAGAAGCGTAAAGAATGTACTCTTCATCATCCCAGAATTTTGACGGAAATTTCACAAAAATCTTGGTGTAAATCACCATATTAAGTTTAAAGATAGCTTCTAATTTCCATTGCGGGAGTTCAGGTGTGAACCGAACCAATCCGCTCTTTAGTACACCGATACTAAACGTTATCAACGCGTAATCTGCAGTGTACACATCTCCACTGTCGGTGATGACATTAACATTATGTTCACTCCATTTTATTTCTTTGACAGTTGTGTTTAACTGTAAACGTGAATCCTTGGGTTTTAGAAACATGTCCGCTAGACATTCCACGATATGCACATATCCCCTGGGGTCAGTAACAAAAAACTGTTTCCCATCCACAGAATGAATCATTCCATGGTCGGCTATTCTTACACGGAGAGAAATGTATTTGGGTGGAACAGCGTATTCAAAGTCGTATTCAAAGTACTCTGTGACCATTTCTTCCGGGTTAGATGGAAGCCAGTTTGTAAGGCGTAGACCAACTCGAACGGAAATGTCCTCACCATTCATCTTCCGGCGCCTGTCAATCATTTCGTCCAACAAAGTCTCGTCATGTTTGAGAAGGGTCATTTTTCCTTTCGCAGTTGTGATATATCCAGTTTCATTTCTTATCACAAATGATCTGTTTTCAACCTTCCCTTGCAATCCACATATCTCTTTCAGTCTTTCGATTGGATTTCCCTTGACTCCTTGAATCCAGTTTGCCCCCATTTCAATAGTTGTCCCTTGAAATGTTCTTTTCCTCATTCTTCCACCAATTCTGTCTGTGCCTTCCAAAATAACGAAATCTTCAATTCCCATATCGCTTAATGTCTTTGCAGCAGCAATTCCTGATATTCCACCGCCAAGCACAAGGACCTTTGCATTTCTTTTTGTGGCTTCGCCATGACTTAGGAAATTCGCCAAAGTCAAGAAAACGGGGAAGTACACTAGTCCGAATGATTTGCCCATCTTTATAATTTGATTTATTATCAGGACTTGTGTTTCATGAAATCACGCTACCTCGTGATTTTCAGCTGATCTCCACCACAGTCGGTGTGCGCACTCTGATTACGTTGCATCATGGTCGTAAAATAAACATTTGAGTCATGCATCTTAAGCATCCTCGGAGACCCAGGGGCCGTAGTTACTAAAAGTTG